AATTACATAGACAAAAAACCGGGAAAAAAACAGAATACTGGAGGACACAATGTTCGTGATTATATATATAAATAGAAGGGGAAAGAGAACTTGTAGATGAACACAAGAAAGGAAAAAAAGAGTAGACTGAAAGTGAAAAATCCCGACTAATCAATCAATCAATCATACAAGAGTAATTAAATTAATAAAAAGAATTGTAAAATGAAGATTATATATTAGAATAATATTGAATAATAATCATGGTGATAATCAGTGATTACTTGATAAAATTCTATTTGAACAACAATAATAATAATGTGATGGTTTAAAAATGGAATTTTATAAGCTTTCACAAAAGAAAAAAGCATTTATGCATAGAACATATGTCATGATAAATTTATTTTATACATAAATATGTATGAGTGATTGAAGGAAATCCAGTAGACTATTTAAGCAAAGAGTGTAAACATTATGTGGATAATCAGTAGCAGTAGTAGTAGTAGTAGTGGTAGTAGCCATAAATAACACTAATCTTGAAGAGAAAAAAAACCTACAACTAATCACATACAAGCGCGCAATATGCTGCAATCAAACAACTTCAACAACAACAACAACAACAGAATGAACTGAAACTGTTGAAATAAGTAAGGAAAGAGAATGCGAGAAAAGGAAATTTTGAAAATTTCTGAATAATTCATTGTGAATAAATAAATTGACAAATTAAAAAATAGTAATAATAATAATAATAATAATACTGCTTCAAGATACTCCACGCGAAAAACTTCGAAAAAATGACAAAATAGCAATGAGTAAATTTCGCCAAAAATGAGATCTTCGTTGTAGAACTACTGGTGTAGTAGGATCTGCTGCACTATTTGTCATAGTGTCATCTTCTTTAAGCCATAAAATAATCGGATCTGATGTGTACACAAGTAAACAACTAGCTAATAATGTCATGGAGAAGCAAACAGCAAGTCTCCTACAGAATAAAAAAATAAAATAAATAAAGTTACAGTGAATGAATTGACGATTGTAAAATTACTGACATTGTTTGTGTTAGGATATTCATCCAATATCCCAAGAGAATTACTGGTCAATTCCTATTGGTTAATTCCTACTGGTCAATTTTATGGTCGTCCTAGATATCAATGTCACATAATCAACATAAATCAAGGAAATTGGTGTGGTTGGCGTTAGGACTAGATTATGTTATGATTAAAAGTCAGTTGACGTTATAACACAAGAATAACACATAAAAAGAGATCAGTGAATTAGAAGTAGCTACAAATTTTCTCCACCCTCTCAGAATTCAGTCAGTCAGTTACAACGTAGACCTTCGTACGTAAGTACATCAGTTCAAGTTGCCATACCACATGAGCACAGAGATAGTAAAAGTATTAGATGTAATCGGAGAGATTAGGGTTCAAAGATGTTATTCAAGAAGTATAAATCAGTTAGGTAAATTTAGAAAGCGAAAAGGTAGAGGTGTTGACGAATCCAGAAGGTTAGAATTTCATAGAACACAAAGAGTAAATGCACCTGCGCCATCGCAAACGATTCTGAGCCATATCACTCAACGTGTTTAACCATCGATTATTATCATCCCGCGGACACCAAAAAGGTAGTCGACAACTACCGACATGACTCAGTCCACTTGTCAGTGACGAGGCAGTCGGTGGTTAAACATACGTAACACATGTCTCAACCACCTCAACTGATCAAGTTTCATTACTTCATCTATTGATCTGCCATCCTTACCTAGCATCCGTTTCCTAACAACAGCATTGCTTACTCGGCTGTGGCACGATACTCGAGCAATGCTTCGAAGACACATATGATCGAAAACCAGTAATCTACGAATATCTTCCACTCTGACTGGCCATGTTTTACAGCCATATAGAAGGACGGAGCGAACTATTGCGCAGTATACTCGTCCTTTAGTCAGTAAACGGATATCTCGCCTTCGCCATAAGTGACGTAGGTTGGCAAAAGCCAATCGAGCTTTCTGTATCCGTGCTGAAATTTCGTCAATCTCAGAATTAGAAGTACTTATGGCAATATTGAGCAGTACAATGCTATGTACTAAACAAAGCCAATCAAAATATAAAAAAACTATTTTTCTGTTATACGACTTAAATGGGCTTTTATTATAAACATGATAGGTACATCTGCTGGTTGATAATAATCACTGGAAGCATTGAAAACCACATTTGTAACAGGATAAAAGATAGCTTGATGGAGACGTATCCGTTTTGACGAATCTCAAGTAGAGAGAAACGCGCATGCAGGACTCACTTTATTGATTGATTGATTTCAATGAGCAAAAACACTAATCTCCATAACTCTAATTGAAAAATCCTAAAATATGCTCACTAGTGACTAGCTTCGTTAGAAAATTCTAGGAGTTTTAGTGAGAAGACGTGACCAGTGGAGTTCCACCCTGGCAGGTGTAGGCAATAACTATCAAAGACAAATGGGTCAGGTCACGCAAAATCTCTGGATCAATCAGAGTTAGACATTAACACCGTTGGATACTAGCCCAGGGGTCCAGAGGTTAGGCGTTCGCGCGTGATACCGAGGGTCCTGGGTTTAAATCTTGCGAGGTGCAGGGGTTGCGGATGCGCACTGCTGTTAAGTCCCATACTAGGACGAAACGGCCGTCGAGTGTCTGCAGGTTTCTAATGGTTGTCTAACAATGATTGGTTGATGATTTAAATGCGCAAAAAACACAAATCTCCATAACTCTAATTGAAAAATGATTTGGTAATTTAGAAAAAAAAATAAAACATACCTATTTTCCGTTAGAACAGCGCCTAAATTTAAACAACGTATAAGCACTTGCAACAACATGGTGACTAGTGCAAAGAATGACACAAATAAATCCGTTAAATAGTGTATAACTTTACGACGAACACGATCTAATTCTGTACCATGTGATTCAAGGGTATTGGATTGATCATGAGGTTTTTCAATCATACTTACCTAAAAAGAACAGAATGAGAAAAAAAATGACTTTGTCAATTAATCTAACTTATAACTAACTCACTCATATGACAATTATTAAATCAACGACAACAAAAAATAAATAAAAGAGTTTAAATTTATCGGATAAGATGAATATTTTTTTTCTCTCTCTCGGAAAATGAAGTTTTATTGATTATTTTTTTTGAAAAACAAAAAAAGTTGTCGAATTACAGGTCAATAAACATTAAAGTGAATTTTTTTGAGCAAAAAGAAAACAGTTTCTACTTTTAATTTTCAAAATAATCCTACAGCAGTTAATAAAAAGGAATTTTCGACAATTTGTAATGAAACTGTGGAGATCTCTTAGCTTAGGTCATAACTTTTCACTATTGATTACCATAGAACACATAAAATTAGTTCACATTAAGATTCGAGAAGATTTAGACTTGATTCATCTCAACAGCCAAAAATATGTAAAACGTAGTTTACTAGTTAGATATCAAAAACAAAAATTATAAAAAGTTATTTTCCTGTAAGTGAATTCATTAGTTTCTTCCAACGATAATTCTCATTTGTATTAATTAGTAAGCAGTAATTCATAATCATTTTAAAATATTCTTTTTTGTAAATTCTAGAAAATGTTGACCTTTTAGATGCTATTTTTTGGCTACATAATTCTTTTCTTTGTTTTTGTTTTAAACCCACAATCAGTTTGTGAAAATCTTTTTTCACATATATATATATATATATATATATATATATATGCAGATCAAATCAAGTGATAAAATAGAAAAAGCATGACATATTGCATAATATTCAATTGTTTAATAATAAAATACAAGATGTCAAAACAATTGTCCTAATTTAAAAGCAATGCCGAAAAAAAAGTTTTGTCCTCTTTGAAAAAAAAGGATTAACCCCGTATAAAAAATAAATGACAACATTTTAGGGAATTCTCACACTAATGATATTATTTTCAAAACATGGTCAATGATCAGGGTAATTTTTACACACAATTAAACTTTTACAAGCAAAGAACATTGATAGTAAAATCAGTGTTGAGTGTACACATTTCATGTACTTAAAAACGACAATTTTTTTTTCAAAATATTACCTTATTAATATATAGTTAAACGAGATAAGATTTAAAACCAACAACAACAACAACAACAACGTGCAAAATTATTATTATTATTATTATAAAAGAAAATTTCACAAAATATGTATGAACATATAGAAGATGAGTTATTTTTCGAAATAATACTACAAACAACAATGCACGTTAGTTTGATGAATAATGAACAAGGCTCTTTCTTTTGATATAAGTTTAGTTGGTAAAAATACACGAAAGATGTATACAGACAAATAAATAAATCACATGAAGTCTAAATACTCTATTCATTTATTTACGATCAACTAGAGCAGGATAAATTTGAGAAATATTTATTCAGTAGTGATTGAAATGCTATAATTTTACAGAATAGATGTATTATTATTAGTCGTGGGAATTCAGAAAAGGTGTCGGATTCACGTACAAAATCCTGATGTTGATATTCAACACCGAATCTCAAACTCATGAACTTAAAGCTTTAAACGGCCAGGTGCATTTTATCTACTCACTGACCTATTTACTTCTGAGTACAGATAACGATTTACTTGTGCAGCAGGTCATTCAGTCAGTCAGTCAGTCAGTTACAACGTAGAACTTCATACGTACGTACATCAGTTCAAGTTGCCATACCACATTAGCACAGAGATGCAATTGTCACTTCAAATCCCATAGTAGTAGAGGTAGTAGAAGTATTAGCAGTAATCGGAGAGATTAGGGTTCGAAGATATTATTCAAGAAGTAAAATCTAGGGAAATAAACTTAAAAGAAAAAGATAAAGGTGGTCAGGGATTCAAAAAATTAGGATTTAAGAGAACAAAAGAACGAATGCACTTGCGCGATTGAAACGGTTTCGAGATGTGGTGTTGAGTTTAAACCCCTAGTAAGTGATAGGTGTGCATTGCTGAGTCCCATACTACGGCGAAACAACTGTCCAGTGCTTTCTAGTTTTTAAGTTTTCTAACATCGTTTCGTGATGCAACCGGTAAAATTCAAGATTCTCCACAGAGCTCTTATATTTATAATAAGAATATAAATGACTTATCAAATAGGAAGTTTTGTAAACTCTTTTGAGATAAACTTCCGTTTTATGAGGGTTAGTGTTGTTACCACTAAACTTCCCTAACCAAATCAGGTGAGATATGTAAGCCTACAATTTAATGTTTGATAATAGATCAACTTAACATTTTCTGGATAATTTATATATTTGAGCTCAGATATTCATTTACATACTTCATATGTGCAGCGAACTAACTAATTATTAGCGTGGATTTGAATGATCCTGTTGTTAACATTAGGGACTGAACTCTGATCCTGCTGACCAAATTCATGTATTTTCTAAAACTTGTGATAAAATAGTTTCCTTGATGGCTAATCTACACAGGAATAAACATGTCTTAACAAAATTTGATTAAAACCCAAAGTCCTTAATACTAACTAACAGAATGGATAATTTGAGCCTTACTAATAGGATTATGGTTTCAGTTTTAGTTCAGACCAACTATCAAATGTTAATGAAATTTGAAGAGAAAAAAAATACTACATAAACTGTTAGGATATTCATCCAATATGCTAAGATAATTGTTTGTAAGTCTAATTCTGTGGGTCAATGCCTACTGGTTGTTCTAACTGTCATTGTCACAGACTTCAATGTTGTTTCCTATTCGACCTAACTGTATTAATATGCATTAGCTGTGACGTTTTATGAGCCGGATCCCTAGTCCGGGATACTGATTCTCTTCTGGACTCGTACTTTCTGGATGCTTGTAGAATAACATGTTCTACTTCATATCAAGTCTTCTCCTTTTACTCAATAGGGGTTTGGGACAATCGAATTAGAGTAACCTGTTGTGTTGCCGGACCCTCGATCGTGGCTCGTAATAGTTCAAGCATATCAAATTGACATGTTTACGTGCATGCGTAACAAAAAACTCTGCCTAGACGATTGAATAATAATCACGTATTCACAAATAATAATCATCATCATCATCATGATAACCTGTAAAGATAAAAGGCTCAAAAAAAAAAGAACCAAACTGAAGTGAAAGCAACTTTTTCATTACTAAACAATAATCGATGAATATAATAAGCGAATCCAGTATGACTAGTTAAGGAGGGCATAGATGTCAATCAGCAACTTAAATTGTGAACATGTGGCAAGCTTTGATCACGTGTCTCACCACAATCACTTGTATCATCGTTTGAAATTATCAATCATGTTATGTTAAATAGGGCTGCCTTAAATTTTTTGATTACAGAATCCGATTACATAAAACTACATGGATACTTTTTTTACATTGAACAGAATGCAGTGAAAACAAAACAAAACCAAACAAAACAAAAAAGAACACTAACCTTATTACTAATACTTGTAATATTATCACTTAGATCACGTATTTTTGTAGTCACTTGATATTCAACTGAATATAAGGAGTCATGAAATTCATTACGTATAGCTGCTAATTCATGTGGTAAAGCTTGTCGAGATTCTTCAGCTATAGCATCTAATCGTTCAATACGTGAACTGGCATCAGTTAATTTTTGATTTTGTAATTCGGCTTTTGTTGTTGCATCACGCTAAAATGAAAAAAAAAAACAGGAGAAAAGTTGTAGTTTTATTTGATTAAGTCATTATAATTATTATCATTTATATTACTGTATAAAACTAGTCTAATTAACTTTATAAAGAAATTCTCTAAGTTGAAGTGAAAAGCTGTGATCACTGGAGTTCATTCATGTTGGACGTGAGGCAGTTTTATCTAATAAAGACAATGAAAGATGGTTGTACAATATCGTGAATCAATTGAAGTTGGACGTGTGCATCATGTGGTCTGAAGTTTAGGCTCTCTCTGAAAGACCTAAAGGTCATGCGGTCACGGATCATGCTGAGGAGTCCCTCACTAACGAAGATAAAGCTGCCCAGGACTTTCTTGGTTTTACTAATACGAAGATGACTATCACGTGCAATCAATGACAGCATTCTATTTCGTGATTACAGTTCGATTGAGTGAGCCATAGAATCCCGGTTAACAGTTGACATATCATAATTTCCATAAAAGCATTCATCTTAGTCGAATCATGTTCAATGCATGAATCGTGTAAACACTTACTCACTAAACTACTAAGTCTAGACAGCTACTTAATTGCTCAGTGGATACAAAATTATATGTAAGGTTTGAATTTTCCTGTTGTGAACACTGACAGCTAAAATTGATCAGTTTCTATTAAGATATATGTACTATGAGCGGGTTACATTCATTGATAATACCTTTAATTAGACATTTTTTAAAGGCATAATCTACACATAACCAGTTGTTACATTTTCCCATAAACTTACATTCACTAGTAGTAGTAACTAGTGAAATAAATGCCACTAAAAAAAAATCATTCAAAATCAATACAGTAAACAAATTTATGATTATAAATGATAACAACAAAAACAATACTTTGTTACTTTTAGTGAAAAATTGAAAATAGATAAGTAAATAAATAGAAAACAACAATATTTGTTCATGTTAAATATCAAAAAATGTAACACTTCGTGTGTTTATGTACACACACACACACACACAATAAAGCAGGTGATAATGTCATGTATTCATGTCTCTCTATCTATGTTCACGCATACAACACATACATGTATGGAAAGGCAGGAGAAAAAAATAGTTTTCATCCAAATGATATAACAAATACAGAGATAATATTCAATTTTCAATATTTTCATAATAAAGAAAAACAAATAAAAGTTATTATTTTTTACATTGGTTTTATTGTTTGTGTTAACACAAACAAAATATTCAATACTAGTAATAATAATAACAATACACAATGTGACCTTGACAGGATAGATATATGCGCAATGATTTTTATGATTTAAGTGGAAAACCAAATACGATTTACTGAATCAGACCAATGAATCAGAATCAGTACTAACATAGCATAGCCAGCAGATTTTTTAAAAAAAGGATTCACCATTCCTTAGGATAAGTGATAATCAGTACATTCATGTAATTTTTGTAATTTATTTCAGCATCATAATGATCAGTGCTGGAAGTGAAAAGTAAATTAATAAGCTATCGAGTCATTGGGACTTTTATGACTGGCCAATAAACTCCTGGTATTGAGTAAAAAAATAACAGTAATCAGTGCTGTTTTATATTGGTGGGATTATTTTTTAAATATCTGTCATTTAGGGAAGTGATGGCGAACTTTCGCTATTCACAATAACGGTTGAGAGAGGATGTGAGTAGTTATGGGACTTTGAAGAATATGATCAACGGATTTGTGACATTTTATAAAATGTTCAATCAAACCATAGAAGTCAATTATTAATGGTTCCACGAACTGGTGTACAGAAATTTTCATCAGGCTATTTTCTAATTACAAGCAAAATTTTATCTAATTGTAAAATAGTGTCTTATTTATATGCACCTAGGCGAGTACAAAGTCAGGGCATCATAAATAAATGTTACAGACACTACTACTTTGCAAACGTATATTTTACATACTTCATCAACTGTTAAGAGTGAGGCTTTATAGTCACAGGACAATTAGGACCTTTAATCGAGTAATGCAATCTCTTTTTGTTGAGCAGTTAGATATTTTGAATGTGAAATATCTGACAATGATACTACTCACGAGCAAAATAAACGTAGGTTATCATCTCAAGATCTTATTTACTAGTAATTCACCAAGACTGAATAGAATACCAAGAAAAGTGAAGTAATTTAAATGCTTAAAGTAGCATAAATTCATTCTTAGACTAAATCTGAATAGAGAATATTAATTTTGAAACATCACTATGAATACTATAGAGATTAAAAGACAGTGTACGATATATATTATTTTGAAAAGAGAGACTGTCGATAAATAATCATAACGATCATTCTGAGACAAAGATAAGAAATTATTTTATTTAAAGACATAAATATTGGTACAAAAGGACACGAAAATACATAAGCAGGACACAAGTCATTGAATCTGTGTGTGAGTTGGGTTACTGCCCAGATGCCCACACCGAAGTAGATAGTTTGTTTAAAGGGCCACTCCTCAAGCGTTTGACTCAAAAATCCAACCCAAAAAGCAGTGGAACAACATTAGCAGATACAGTCCCCTGGTAGGTGGTGACCAACGATAGGTTCATACGCCATCTGTTCCTTTACGATCTTGGAGCCCGCCGATTTCGAATCAGGGTATTCCAAATACCCTAGGTAAACCCTTTGTACACACCAACCCACTTCAAGCGTCAGATATTTACTTTTCGTCATCTCATTGTCGTAAACAACACCCAGGCGGCGAGAGGGCAGTGGAATAAAACTTCCATAGCAGTGGCTATATACACATGGACATATGAGGGTATTTGGAGAAGTCTCCCCATCCTTGGCCGTACCAGGACATTTGGAAAATACAACCAACTATAAACTGTAGTACATTTCTTTACTATTCTACCATTAAAATCAATTAGATATTTAAAGCATTCGTACTAGTAATAAAATTTATGCAAAAATCTTACATGAATATTTGAGAAATTAGTTGATAGAATACCTAACTGATGCCGAAAAATATTATCACATGAACAATAAAAAATAATACAGATAAATACAACCCACAATAATAATATTATGAAAACTGATAATAATATGAAAACTAACCCGTATAGCTTCTAATTCTGTTGTTAAATTATTTAGTGCAGATTGAATACTAAGTGTTTCACTATGCATCACAGATAATTCATCACGAAGTTCTTGAAATATCTGTGCTTGTTGATTGCTTAACGAAGCGAATTGACATTCTTGACGACGATAAAGATAGGCAAATGAAAGAGCTAAATTATGTGAGGAAATATTCATGATTGAATTGCTTGAATGGCCACCAACACCACCAGCACCGCCACTTATACTCCCTGTAACAATACCACTACTATGTGGAGTACCAAATGATTCAGATGAGATAACATTAGCTCCACTAATATGACTTTTAGATCCAGCTTTAGTTTTGTCCAAAACACCTAATCCTGAAGCAGATAATGCAGATGAACCAGACGAACCAACACCGGGTACATTATTATTACTAACAGCAACTGGATTTTGATTATTGAACACTTGATTTGGTGATACACCAAGAAATTCAAATATTCGTGTAAGTGTAGTATCACCAGTCTCTGACCATGCAAATGCACCAGTATTAGCATTGACAGCAACAGATGGATCAATACTTGGGTATGTATCATCCTTTGATGTACCACCACCAATTAAACAACTTAAACCACTAATCACACTACGTCCACCACCAGCATCATATCCACCAAAATTGACAGGATTAATTCCATTGGCCGAAGATAATGAACCAGTACGAATTGGTTGTGAACTACTACCAGCTACATTCTCAGGTATGAGTGCACTAGATGAATCATGCTAAATAAAAGAAAACATACATATGAGACTGATAAGTAAATGTATCTTGATTAATTTTTATTGATCTATGAAAATTACATTGAATAAAATGAAAAGATTAAGAAAATAACAAGTGACAAAGATAATTGCATTTCTATGTTATTGGTTTTTTTGTTTTGTTTTAAGTATTGATAATGAATAGTAAAATTAGAGAAATCACGAACATGTTATTTTTATCTACTGTAATGTGATTAAAGTTGTAATCAATAAAACGCAGAATATAAGATTTTTCGTTTAATTCTAGTTGAATCTCAAATAGATAATGCCAGAATCAATTCACTCACAAAAGTTGTGAATGAAATATTGTTAGAATTGAAATAAGTGTGAATAATCAATTGTGATTCGATACGAAAAAACAAAATAGTAGTAACGTATCCTGTCACTAATTATCACATTTAGATTGCATAGTATACATAACATATAAGAATAATGCTAATGGTAACAGTGATAAGTTGATATTAGGTGATTAGAAATAATAGGCAAGAAGGATGACTAGTACATAGCTTCTATTGAGCCATACGAAGAGTAATTGATTTCCTGTGGGTTCAATTGATCAACACAGATTGATCACTGAGTAGTGGAGAATCTAACGTTTGTCTAATCTTGGCTGCTAGACACATTGCAATTTGATTGATAAAATTCGATCACAACTAAGAACTAACTAAACATGATACTGACCAGTACTCAATGTGATCATTCGATGTAGTTAACAGAAGAAAGATGATAAAATTCAATGAGAAATCGGTTAATAAATAAGGTAGTTTTATCATAAAGATAAGATTGCGCTTTGGAGTTGTGGAGATTGTTGAGTTACTTATTAAAATCACGGATCGATTAATGTAAGACCACCACTAGACACCTGGAAGCACTGCATGGTCGTTGCGTCCTAGTATGGGACTCATCAGTAGTGAGCATTCACAACTCCTGCACTTCGCAGGACGAAACAGCCGTCCAATGCTTCTGGGTTTCTAATGGTGGTCATTTCAAAAGATTAGACTGTAGCATAAGTAAGCATAAATTAGTTTAGTAGACTTATCAAGTTTTAGAAATCGAATCTTTAAGTCATTACTAATGTATGGCATTTGAAAGAATGTTGTCTGACTATTAAATTACCTTAACAGACAAAGCATTGTTTTAAAAAACAAAATATTTTCAGTTTTAAAAAGTTGATACAAACTATAGTTATTCAAACATGAAAATATATTCGTTATTAATTAAAAATGTACTGATAGAAAAAAAGAAAGAAATATATTTGTGATAATGAACACACGCATAGAATGATCGATACACAAATTAAGAAATCAATTTTACTCTGAATTTAAGTTAGAACAATGAAAAACTCATCTAAGTAACTTATCTAATAAACATTGACTATTTTTCATAGATCAACTTAATCTAATCAGAATTTTGTTACATGTTACACTGACAGTAATTGTTTAAATAGTCTACTGGTAAGCATGTGTGTGTGCATGTAGGCTTTTAACAGTCAAATGAATACAAGCTTATATTTGGATTAAAGCAATATTATAGTTTATTCAATCCAACCAAACCACATACAAAGAAAACAGAGGTAAGTAACAATTAACAATTAACATAAGAAAAAATAAACAATAACATTCTTTTTTTACGCAAAAAAAGTAGAAAAACCAGTGAACGACCTCATAATTAAAAAAAATTAAAATGCATTTGTTTTTTGTTTAATTTGGGAAAGTGAACACACTTACACAGGTGTGTATTTTTTTTGTTTAAACATAACAACAACATAAAAAAACAAACAACGAATCCTAGTGAACAGATTCAATTATTTAGAAATGAACAATAAATTCACTTAAAAGCCATAATCAATGGGTTTTCTGTATCTATTAATTGATTTATTGAAAGAATTTATTAAACAAGCATTTTGCATTTAATGACATCATCTAAAAATAGTTTGGCTTTATTCATTCAAGTACCAAAAATCTAATGAAATTAAAAGGATATTGTACGATTTTTATAGAAAATTAGTCTAAAATTTTCAAAAGAGATTTCAAGTGTGTTGAGAATATAAGAAATTCTTAAATGAGAATGTGTTATTTATTTCAAAGTGATTGAAATTATGTGGTAAGTATTCCAAGAAAAATAAAAGATGTGGCATTTTTTTCGCAAAATAATCAGAAATGATCAAGAAAGAAAATTATGTAATAGTTTAGAAGTAATAAAGAAGTTAGGATTTATTCAATAAAACGAAACTATTGACTTTGTCAAACCAGATAAGATGAAGAATCAGATAATTATGAACACAGTTTAGAAGATTAGGAAAAGTACGTAGGTCATGGAAGAATAAGGGATTGAAAATGGGCTTTCTTGTGTATACAGAGTTCGCGGTTTAAAATAATGATGAGTGATCAAGGCTTGAGATGTACACGCATTCCTCATTTAGATGTTCTTTGAGTTAGCTCTTTTAACTTGATAGATGCTCCTAAACGATGACTCTGGCAACGATCTATGATCTAAGGATTGAGCTAGAAATCTTTTTTTTTCGACTAATTTATTAAATTGCTCAACACCACTTTATATTGATCGACTTTAGATAATGGAATAAGTTCAAACTATTTTGGTTAAATTTTATAATACTTGCTGTCTATTGCAATATAAACTAGTTAATGTAAATTTAAAAAAAATGGCTTATACCGTTGAAATGCCTTTATTTTATTTTTGATAAACCAGGAATAAATACGATTGCAAAGAGAACAATTCTAGAGAACATGCAAATCAATCATATTTCAAATTGCTTTATACTTGTGGTTTATCCAGGTCAATAGTAAAATAGTAGGTACAAATCAAAATGACATATTATGTTATAATATAGGACTAGGTGACATTTATGTATATATATATCCATCATTTTTATCCAATCGCCCTAATGACACTTTCAAAGTTGATTAATTAATTAATCATTCACTGATAGGTTGACCTTGCAACCTGATTAAAGTTATATAAATGACAGTAACCTTATAAACTTATTGTGGTCATAGAAATACTATTTTTTCAGTTGGAATTTTAGTCAGAGAAGATAGAAAAAAAATATTCAGACAAATTCAACGGCTATAAAATAAATTGCCTTATAACTAACTCTAACTACAAAAACATTGAATGCACATATATGTCACCGTAAAGTATAAGCATTATGCAAAGTTTACAATGACGAAGAGATTCGTGGAGAAAGTCAAGTTGCTCTCGAGGGGAAACCTGCCTTTTGGCGCACTTTTTCCATTTTCGAACAACCAGAAGCGTGTTACCCTCATATAATTTTAAGATGATGGAGAAAATTTGTAACTCAGGTAGATGATTGTGATGGAGTTTCGTTCTCTGAAGTGGATATTTTGATTTATGCTGATGATGTTGTTCATAAGAAGAACAATGAAAACTCCACAACCAAAATATCCAGCTCAGAGAACGAAACTTCATCACAAAATTTACACTGTTTTGAATAAAAAGGTTTTTTACAAGCATAATTTGTAACACACAAATAAAATTGATCTAAATATGATTAGATGAAAGTAATCCTCTGTGCTCTATGTTTATTTTAATTATTTAAAAATAAATCATAAAACTAGTATTAGTAATTATGAATCCAATGATTAATAATAATAACATAATAATAATAATAATAATAATGTTAATAGGTCAGTTGAAAGCAAAAAACCCTAGTTATGTGAATGAATATATACTTGAAGTAAAAAAAATATAGATACAATGTAGTCAAGTAGTAGAACAACTAAATACCTCGAATACCTACTTGAATCTGGAAGGTAAAGAATAAGAAGTTGGCGAAATCTCAGTTTTTACTTCGATACATGAAGAGTATACATGGTAACATCAATATGAGGTTTTTCATGAAACTTATGAAAATAGAAGGGGATTTATTGACAACCCTCTTTTGCACGTTCTTTACCTATCGCAGTTTTTATTAACGATTACTCTCGCCATTTCATTTGTCTACATGAAACTAATCTTTCTCTAGAACATATCACATGAGTAAAGAAATCCTGAAGAAATAATGATGATGATGATGATGAAATGATTAATTTTGTCAGCGTTTTTCATCACTTGACTATATGCTAAAGCTTAAACACATGAAGGCATTGCAATGATCTGTTGAACTACAAGAATGAAATGAATCATAACCGAAAAAAAAAACACCATGTGAAAGCATTTATCTTATTATGTACAACCGAAAAGTCAAACTATTAGTCATATGATTGTAATAAGTATTGAACTGCACGTACAAAAAAATGGTCAATTGGTATCTACGTGAATTTCAAGAATGAATAAACACGCACATGCACACATGTTCAAAACAGTGAATTGTAATAATGAATCAGCTGACATGTGAATAAACAAATTGGTTAAATGCATTCAAATGCATCACTGATTGTTGCATAAGCAATTACTATACACACAAGAAAAAATCAACAATTAGATTTAATGCAGGCTAAACAGCGAAAACTGATTGATTAAAAACCAAATTTTCTTTTTTGATTGTGAAGAAAACATCAAAAATTAGACAAAATTCAAATGAAAGACTAATGAAATGCTAGAGAAACTTTGAATATTTATGTCTTCTTTTAGTATTCATTAAAAGCATAAACGTTCAGGTGTAGTGTGTTAAAATTAAAAATGTTTTGTTTGCAACATTTTCACAATATCTTTCTTTAATTAAGAACTATAAATAGAGTATAGTGAGCCAGATACTCAACTACGACGTATGGTAGAAAATAAAACAAAGGTAAACAGTCACTGTAATTACACTGCGAACTATGATTGTCGATTGTTTTAGTTGCAAAAAATCATTTGCATTATTAGTGTTTAACCATTATGTTAATACTACAACATGTGTACATTTAGATTGTTAATATTTTAACAGCATTAATTGGTCACACCCCTCAGTTAACTAGCATTAAACTAGAGTTAATATTAAATACTAATTGACAATGGGACATAGATTGGATTAAAGCATGATGGTGTTGCAGCACGCTGATTGGCTCTTTCATATCCAATCAGGGCTAGCCGATACTAGAGAAACATTCTAGAATCTTCTGATGTAAGAAAACTATAAATATACTAATATCTTTTTCTATTGTAACTTATGTCTTCCATCTAACTCTGTTATTGGAATATAATCTACTTTCTGTTCAACTGTGTTCTGATTTTGCGAGATCGCCTTGAGTGAATTGATGTGTCCGAGAATACTAAGCATTAGGAATAGCTGAGTTGTAGCATGAGAGAGAAAGAGTTATAACACTACTGATGTACATTCGAATTGCCCTAATGATTTTGAAATAAAATTAACTGTTTAGCAATAATATTCCCGATGTTCTTGTTACAACGGATAGTGAATAAAGAGGAAGTTGTAGATTGACTGTAGACTGACAACATTTCTACAAATTGAAAATCAATATCCACACTATCCAATCAAATAGGAAATATTCATTAAATTTTTTTTTCAAGTGACTTCATTTAACTGTTTTATGAATACAGTATGTCAGTCAGTCAGATGCAACATAGAACTTTGTACATAAGTACATCAGTTCATGTTGCCATACCACATCAGCACAGAGATGTAATTGTCAATTCAAATCCAATAGTAGAAGAGGTAGTACAGGTATTAGAAGTAATCGGAGAGGTTAGGATTAGAAGATATTATTCAAGGAGTATGATTTAATGAGAAAAGTTTAGAAAGTCAAAACTAGAGGTGTTGAAGAATCCAGAAGATTAGGATTTAAGAGAACACAAAGAATAAGTGCACTGGCGCCATTGCAAGCGGTTTTGAGCCATGTCATTCAGGGTCTCTAACCATCGGTTTGGTCATCACGATAGGCAAGCCCGACCACCACGTCAAGATAGCAGCTACGGTCGGGGATGAATACAGTATGACAATTAAATAAGTAGAACATACGAATGAATAGTTTTAGAAAGCAATAAAGATGAATCAATATGACTATATTTTGTAGTGAAATTAATTGAATAATTACAGATAAAGAATATTTAAGAAAAAAAATTAAATTATTCCACTAATACCTCTCTCTTTCTACTTAACCAGGAAAAAAAAACCACATGATGAATAACTGAACTCTGCCACTTTGAATTGTATAAATAAAGTAAATTGTAAAAAATCTCAAAAAAATATATCATCATTATTATCCAACAAAAAAAGATAAAAATATGTTATTGATCACATTTTACTCATAGTATATATATATTTATGATAGATACTACAATACAATTCAGTTCATTATGATTTATTATTAAGCATAATAAAATTATTCAAAAAAAATCAAAAAAAAAAACAATGACATTAAATTGTTTTCAAAACAAACAAACAGCCAAACAGCCAAACACAAAGACAGACAAAAAAAAGATCAAACAATTAATTCATTGGTTATGTGATAGGGACAAAAAAATTGACTAATTTTATTTCAATGAAATAGTAATTAAATTAGTTCAAATAATTATTATTAATCATCAGGATAATAAAAAAGTGAAATTTCGAAAAAAAACTAATTAGATTTTAAAAAACGTTCATAATAATAATAATAATTATTATTATTATTACTGCCACTACTAGGATTATTCGTTTAGTGTAATAGAATATAGAATACAACTAAATGTCCTACAAACATTGACAGAATATATATGTATATGTATATGTATATATGTATGTACAGAGTAGAAAGCATGAAAATCGATTCATAGTAAGAAGAGACAGGTCATGATTAAAATAGATAACTTGAAGTAAATCATAAATAGATCATTAGATTAGAACTCAATGTTATATATATATATATATATATATATATATATATATATATATATGAAAATATTAAGCTTAATTAGAAAAAAAAAGATTAGATGAAATCGATAATAAGTTAGAAACAAAATAAACGAAAGAAACTAAGAAGCCTAGTGGATGGATGGATGATAGAGTTTCTTGTTCATTTTTTCTTAGTGTAAAGATTTTGAGACTTTTCAGAATATACGTAAAACCCAGTGCTGTTTACACTGCGATTCGGACTCAGTAAGGTTAGTTCGAACCACTGAACTACTTACTGAGTCAAGGATAAGTAGAGCTGCTAGCTACTAAGATGTACCGACAAGTATGATGCTAATATTATGATTACAAAAGATTTAAACTGTCCCAATTATTTTTAATATTTATGACTGAAGTCATAAATGCTTTATTTTCTCTGTCATAATCCCCATAAAGTCAGTGTACAGTAATTTACTCATGATATTCAATTAAGCATTGTAAACAATAACTTACAGGATATAATAAATTGGATGTAGCCAAATGGCTTTGTGCAAGTTTTTTATGCTTCTTTCTATCACTACAAAAAATCAATAAATAAATAAAATACAGTTTTTCAATTAGAGTTTAATGGAGATTAGTGTTTTTTGCACATTTGAAATCAATCAATCAATCAATCATTGTTAGACAACCATTAGAAACCTGTAAGCACTGGAAGGCCGTCTCGTCCTGGTATCGGATGCATCAGCAGTGCACATTCACGACTCCTGAATCTCGCAGGATCCGAACCCAGGGCCTTCGGTATTGCACGCGAACGCCTAACCTCTGGACCGTTGGGCTGGCATCCAACGGTGTTAATGTTTAACTCTGATCAATCTACGGATAGATTGTCGCGAATACAATGAATAGACAATATAGTACGTAACTATCAAATAATGAACAAATAAAACTTGTGGAAATATGACTCGCTGGAAAGTAAACACAAACAGTTACATTATGGATTCGCTTCAATTCTAAAATATTTAAAACAATAGAGAACCATTCAGAGTAGAATCGAGATTTTTCTACTGCTTCGATATACATAGAGTAAGTAAGAAGATATGTACTATCAAGATATTTTCTATTTTAAGCAGACATCTGTTTGGAAAGCTTTGTATCGGTATCGCTTCAACGGGATTTATTAAACTTGATGGTTAGAAAAAGATTCTGGCTAAGAAAATAAAATTCTGCTTTATTTTCGATGCAAATATGTTCAGAGTAGAAATATCTTCAACTTTTATTACTTAAATGCAACAACACACTAGTTACTATCAATTTTTAACTTCAGTTTGAAAGTTTACGTAGGTTAGTACAATTTAGATTTATATATATGGTGGGAATAAATTGATGTAAAACGATGCAGTAACCAGTGAAATGGAAAAAGAAACATCCAAAGGCGAACTGTACTGTTATATATATATATATATATATATATATATATATATGAATACTAGGGATGGTGTATTTTTTTTGAAACTATTTCACGGACTATTGTTGCTTACATAATAACGTGTATGATTGTTACATGTATGTGAACTTTTACAGGATACATACAAAAATAATTTGATTCTCTTTGTTTTCTCTTACTTCCCAGATATTTTCAAATAGTATTTAATATGTCAGTTTTTCACGTGTTTCTGTCGATTTCATAAATTCATTGATTGTTGATTTCTCAATGTATTGTGTTGTTCATAAGAAACAAGAACTACTTACAAGTATATCAGTCAATTTAAGTAAGTCACGCTATATATATTTAAGTATTATTGAAATATAACTAAACTAATGAATCAGCTGGTTTAAAGTGTACTTTTAAAACTCACAATAAAAGATTAGCATGAAATCTACAATAGTACAGCAGAGAAATTATGGAGTAGTGTTTCAACCAGTAAGGGATAAGAATAATCCGTTCAAGAAATGCTGTTTAACTTCAACAATAGGTTTAACTTATTTGTTATGTTTGACTGGAAAACTTGAAGGGAAGGTATGTAAACGTTGCTACATCTTCCAAAGCGTTTTCATCAAACGTGATACGGTTGGACAAAATATAAATTTTTTAGCCACATTCAAGCTGTCGATTATAACCAGTTCTTCCCTTGATACGGGCCTCTAATTTGAATGAATCTATCAACCTAGTCAATTGTGAGAATTCCGTAGGATTGTGACAATCGTCTAAGGTACACCGTAGTGTCCATGAAGACTATCTTATTCACGTCATCAGGTCTTGATTGTGGTACGAGAATTCAATGCACAGTGATGAGTTTTATTCAGTTGACTGTTTAGTAATGATCCGTAGTGTCGCGATTTGGTTATTGCATGATAGATACTTACGGAATCCAACCTGTTGATCTGAAAGTTTGGCATCTACTGAAATTCTCATCACGTTTAACAACCCTCTGTAAAAGACTTTTTCTAGTACTGATGACAGAGTGATTTCGAAGTAGTTCTGACATTTACTACTATCTCTTTCTTTGGCATCTCCTCCTGTCAAATCTTTTTCACGAGAGCATGGTGCATCTTAGCAATTACTTCTATGTCTGATTTCAGTGTTTCGTGTGGGATAGTGTCTGGTGCCGATGGTTTCCCACTGTTGATTAGTCTGATGATGATCCCAAATCTACGAAATTCTTATCTTTGAACTACTTTTGGAGCTTCTTTGGATAGTATCAGTACAAATCCTTATGTATGCGAGACATCTTATTCTTGATGACCAGAATACAACAGTATATTTCTTGAAGCTAGTTTTTTTTATTATGTTCAGCCTCGCTTACTTCAGACATCACCAGGTTGTATCTTCTCATTTCTGTGATGATCTGAATGATGATCCTCCTGGTTGCCTACAGTATCAGGGCATTCCATGTGCTTATATTAATTATGGCACAATTGTTTTGATTATGTTCATCAGGCATTGAAAAGTTTTCGATATATAGAAAAAGTACATTCTTGATTTCAATCAGTTAAATGTTGAGATTTATTTAATTCTGATGTCTCATATTACAATACTTAAACACAGATCATATATTATTTTACAAAAAATACAAGAAAAGAATGTCACTTTATAAACTATCGAGATTCAAAAAAAAATACAAAACTTTAAAGACACATTGATATGATATTTACATTATTCTGATTGAAAGTGTCTGCTGATATAATGAACTACTTTTATCACAATCATGAAGTTGTTGTTTTTTTAAAAAACAACTTAGAATTGAAATTTGAAAATCGCTCACACACACACACACAAAATATTCAATCTAATTAGATATTTCCAAAAATGGTATTTTTTTTCTGAAAAATTGTTTACCACTTCAATTCAAATAACAAGTAGACTGACTGTCTACACTAATTTAAACAAACTTCCTTTAAATAGATAATAATTGTGTATCAAAATATAAATTTTGTTTTAAAAATAAAATAAAGAATGAAAGACTTACGCAGGTGAAAAGAATGAATAGCCAACAGGACGTAGAAAACCTTTTTTACGATAAGCACTATCATCTTTAGACAAAAACAAAAGAAGAAATTACACGACCAGTTTCAGTGTATGCAACAATGAAATTACAAAAGAATCGTAGTATTTCGCTGGACAAACTAGTTCGAACTATTTTAAGAAAATGATCAAAGCTTGGATCCCGTTTGAGTGACGGTGATTATTAAAATCTTGATATGGTTTTAGTTGGATGAATTTTAAATGTTAGACTAGGCGGATTGATAATAACGAGAGGTGTAAATACAAAGTAAAGTGAAGCAAAGAAACCGATTGGGTTAACTTCACTTAATAAGACATAACTGAGTACTTTTAGTCAGATAAAAAATAAGCTAAACATGTGATAAGCGAAATAAGCAATGCACATATGCATACAAGTAAAAACATCCAAAGTTATAAGCGTATATAATCGACCAAGTCAAAAGGGGGTGTCAATGACTCGAGAAGAATAGATAGATAGAACAAGCCATGCGGACCCGATAGTTTAGTATACACAATATATATATATATATATATATATATATATATAGGGGGAAAATATTATCACTTACGTGGAATACCATTTACTTTTGTTCGAATATTTTCATCACTACGACATCGAGGTTTACCAACTCGAAATAGTTGACGACCGAAAGATCTAAGGCGAAACGATACAAAAAAGAGTAACAACCATACAACCATCATAATAAATACATTTTTAAGATATACACAAGCGATGACGATGATAATAATAATAATAATAATAATACAGTCAAAAGTTTGATGTATACGAAATATACTGGTATACTAACGAAATCATCATCTGTCTGAAATTACCTCGAAGTAAAAACAGACATAAGGTGTAGACAAATGATTTGTACATACATCTAATAACTGAAGATGATTCGGTAGACATTGATTATTTAAACTTTCGTTTTTTATCATTATTGCGGCTCACACCGAATTAAACTAAATAGAGCGAGGATTCGAACCTACGAATCGGTGTAGCGGCTGAATATCAAGTGTCCAGACTTTCCCTAATTTACATATTCTAAATCAACAGAAATGATGTTATTCAGTCAGTTGCAACGTAGAACTTCGTACGTATGTACATAAGTTCAGGTTGCCATACCACACAAAGTGATAGAGATAGTGGAGGTATTAATGGTAATGAAGAAGATTAGGGTTTGAAGTAAGTATAAAGAACAGAGGATCTTCCAAGAAATGAGGGTAATTCAAATACTCAGGTTCCAAAGAAGCATCGGAGGAATAATCTTGCACAGTGAAACGAAAAAAAAAATCACACAGACTGTCAAAGAGACGAAGTTTAGGTGGATCTGTGTAACTAAAATCAACCGTATTATTATTGATGTTGAGTAAGCAGCAAATCAGCAACACCAACTTTAAATATCAATGACTTATTTAAATGAAAATATTGAGGGATAAACATTACACACCAATCAGTTTACATCTCATAAACCATAAAAATGTTTCACAGCAGTTTTTTAACCTACCCATATGGCACCTTTGAAAATTTAAAACCATGACAAAAACAAACAATAAATCAAAATGTTGAACAAATCTTACTTACTCTAAACCAGTGAATACACTGCTTAAAACACTAGTGTTTGGAGTAGTAGCAACCATTTTCGTAGTATGATGCACATCATCATAAACAGGATCATTATGAGGTAAATAAGGATAGAGATGTGGTGTTGCAGGATGTGATGTAAGCATTGATTTATTCGGTGTAATGTAGACACCAGTTGACATAATCGGTTCCGTTGTCTCGTGTATAAATGATATCGGTGCAGCTAATGATGATCTAGATGATTGAATAGGTTTTGTATTGAAATAATTGAGATGATATTGACCACTGGTGGAAAAATATGCTGGATTATGTAACATTTCAAAATTACCAATTGTTTTACAATCATGAATACTTCTAGCCGGCAGAGTATTCGATTGCCTGACAGGTGTTCTACAAAATTCAATATTTGGATTAGATATTCGTGCAGGTAAGGTTTTCGCTAATTCATGACTACGACAAATATCAGATGGTAAAGATACACGAGTTGTAGTAGTAGTAGTAGTAGTAGTAGTAGTAGTAGTGGTAGTGGTAGTAGTAGAGCACGGCAAAAGTTGATTGTTAGAAATTGTAGACGTGGAAGGAGGAGCTGAAATACAATAAACATCATGTTACTATTGTACATAATCAAAATAAGTCGTACAATCAAATATTACTTATTTTGCAATATTTTTCATGATTAAATTATACTGATTATCACTACAGTTAAAGTATACACTAGTTTCGAGTTTTTATTCTGATCTCATGATTAATTTTTTTTTGACAAGATTGGACACTCAGTCTGTCCATAAATCAATCAATCAATCAATCAAATAGGATGTTTATTCATGTATAAACTTATTTTTAAATCATTAATATGAATATGACACTGGTGTACACACCTCAAGTCCATGTGTATTTTGATACAGATATGAAATCTTAAACAAAAAACATGCCTAGTCATTAGATTAAACAACATAGAAAATATTATTTTTAAAAATATTTATTCCATTTTTTAGTATATGTTTTTTTTGAAAAAAAACAAAACAAAACAAAGATAGCAGTTAATATGTTTCAACGTCATAAATAGTCATTTTTTTTTATTTATTTCTCAACTTATACTACATGTTTATCGTCAAAACAATCAATGGAAGTCATCATATTTCACTTTTTTTTAAAAAAAAATATGATAATCAGCATATTATACAAGCATGTTGATACACAACATGAAGTATAGTGGACTCAATAAACATTTATAAACATTATTTGTACATTGAAACATATAAACTTTTTTTTTATGTATGTGGGCTTATTTTGTTGGTTCGTTTGTGTTGTTTTCACCACTCATTAATGTCATTGAAACAAAGGTTCAAATCAAATCAGGAAGTTGGTAAAGTAGAATTTTCCATTAAGAATTGTGAAGAATCAATCAATCTAATGCGTGGGTAGTATTAAGGAGGCTGATATATTTCATGCTAGTTTATAGATTTCTCAATATTCGAGTTTAAAATAAACAGCACGAAGTTCCTGTGTGATAATGATGATGATGATGATGATGATAGTGATCATACAAGTGAACAGTTTGTTATAAATAAATAAATATGACAATCTTCAATAAATAGGCTGGCTACATGTGACTTGTATGAAAAAAAACTATTACTCATCTCAATTAGTAATCTAACTAGTGAATTAACTGTTTTGCAAATTGCATTATTCTATGAAATCATAAGCAATGAAATAACTTCTTTTTTCTTTTTTATTGTACAAAACTTAAAATGACTGATTATGACTGAATGATGGACTAAAATAACAATATTCACTGAAGGTCAGTCAGTACATTTAGAGCTGTGTCACAACATGTGGTCAAGAAAATGCCAATCGAACTATTACTCAACTAATTTATACTGATAAAATAGTATGAAAAAAAATGGAGTAAAGTTATCTCCATATTCAATTACTTCATAAGAAAACTTGGAGAACTACGAAAGCCATCATCCATAAGATACAAGTGTTCATTAACAGTTGTCTACGCAAAATACTTCGTATTCGTTGGCCAGACACCATCGGTAAAAACGTACTGTGGGAGAGAACAAACCAGATTCCAGTGTAGGAGGAAATCGGGAAGAAGCGGTGGAAGTGGATAGGACACACACTACGAAAAGCACCTAACTGCGTCACAAGACAAGCCCTCACTTGGAACCCTCAAGGCAAAAGGAAAAGAGGAAGGCCAAGGAACACATTACTCCGAGAAATAGAGAAAGATATGAGAGGAATGAACAAACATTGGACAGAACTGGAGAGAGAAGCCCAGGACAGAGTTGGTTGGAGAAAACTGGTGGGCGGTCTATGCTCCATTGGAGGTAACAGGCGAAAGTAAGTAAGTAAATAAGAAAATCATTATTAAAAGAAAATCTGTAAATTATATTTTATGACTTTCAACTGATTCTCGTGTAGTTGATTTAAAATTATTATTTTTTTTTTAAAGAACAGTATCAACTAACTTACATGTTTTCAATTTGAGAACAGGTTGAGTTGTTGTTGTTGTTGTTGCTACACCACGTTTATGCAATTTACGACGAGCATGAATAAATTGTTTCACATAATCTTTTGGACATTGTCCCAATGGAATTCCATACAATTCTAATTTTTCAATAACATAACGTGTTGTTTGTAATTGATCATTTAATGCTTTCAACTGTTTTTTCAATGTTTTCAACTTTTCACTATAAGCACGTTTAATTTCACCTTCACGAAATGAGATCGACTGATCAATGGATGGTGATGATGAAACCATAGATGAGAATGATTTATCTGTATTTAATTCAGGTTTAGATACTTCAGCTAATTGTTCAAATAATCGATCATTTAATTCTGTAAAGAAGAAAGAATATAATCGAATGTCAGAAGAAGGAAATAAAAAAAAAACACACACACGATAGGAATGAAAATGCGTGACATTTTAAGCTTATGAATTAGATAGATATTTGGTATTTGCATCATAAAAGGAGAAAAATGATATTATTCAGTGATTCCAAACAAAGTAAACGTGACAAGGTTCAAACTAACAAGGTGTTCAGTTGAGTAAATATTAGGAAAATGAGTCTGATTATGTCAGTTTATACGGATGAGTGTGATAGAGGAAACATAAATCAGGAGGAAACAAATCTTCTGATTGATTTTTCAGGCGACAACATTATGTCGTGGGGACTATTTCGCAAGAACTTTTCTCGTTATGATATTTGAGAGTTGTTTAAATATGCCTTAACGTTACAACTACAACTTATAGTCTAATATACTGAACTGTAAGTGATTATTAAACTGCTTGGTCTTTTTATATTAAATAATAACAGAATTCATGTTGTTATGTATATAAACAATATTTTGAAATCAACTAGAAAGAATAAACAAAACAAAGACACTGTTTTTAAATCTGTATATAATGAAAAGACTTTGTTTAGTGAATAGAATAGTGTTTGACATTTGATATAAGTAAAAGTAGTGTTGTTTAATTATTTCGGTTATTTATACAACTATACAACTTGTATCATACAAGTTATACAAGAACTAATGTTCAACTCATAGTCACAGTGAATGATAGGAAATAATTAATATTATACTAATTTAACAAATTAATTTAAACTAAATAATAAAGATATACACTCATTAATAAAATAAAGACAAGGTCAAAAACTACACACAGTAAAACAACAAGAGAGACAAATTTCAATAGATTATTAAAATAAACAAGGTGTCTTTTTTAATAAATGAGTGTTTCATTTAATATAAAAAAAAACAGAATCAACAAGTACATATAAATCAGTGAGAACAACTAGTTAATTAAATTTGAAATGGTTTAGATTATCCCGTTGTGGATATTTTAACTAAAATCTGATCAGTCTTCATTGGCATATAGAGCATCCTACGCCAATTGCCACAATATAACCGTTACACAACACCAGTTTGCATAGAATAAATAGAATATGGCTAGCAGTGGAACCCGGGACGTATGTTCTATCCTATTCAAGACTTACACTGTTCGCGAACGGTACTGGGTTTGAGTCCCGTAATGAATATCAACTCTGAGATGCATATACATCCAACGGACATGTCGCCAACAGGACGAAGCAACATCCTGAATTCTACTGGTAACCAGATTTTACATATTCTACGTAACACAAGTATTGATTCAAAACTCAATATAAATAAGTAAAATGAGAACAATTAGATGTACCAATCAAAATCAACAAATAAAATGATAAAAGAAGTTTTAATGAAAGCAGTATATTGAATCAATGTCATCGCAAATAAAAAACTGCTTTCCTAATATTGATTAATTCAATTTATCAGCTGTTTTACCTAATTCAACTAATTTTAGTCATATAAATTATTCACATTGAAAAAATATTTTTTTTTCTTAAATTTCTCTATTAATAACACAGATGCATTGAAGTTCACACTGCAAACGACAATTAACTCATGCAGAAATATACACACATATAAACACCATTGATTATTAATTATGCAAGATTTAATATATGTACATATATCTATATATGTAAGATGAAAGATCTAGGCATATAATTTAATTACAGTAAGCTTTCACAATCAGCAAACCTATATCTTTCTACTTGGTACAGATTTTTTAATTAACTCCGTAAACTGATATCATATATTGGTGTGGAGTATTTACCAGCATTCATACTATTCTTATTTCTACCTCTTTAGATTTTCTTTACAAATATGATAATTCAAAGTTTAACCATTTGAACTGATATACATTTGTGCAAGATCCTGAATTGTTTTACTCATGACTAATTAGCCACACAAGTCGATAATGGAGCAGCACAATATTGATAACAAATTTATCACTCTATGAAGTACAAGAACTGATCGATAGCAGTAGCCTATATCAATAATACTGTCATATACTTACTCTACTGACATTTTGGTTCATTTGGAATCCAGTTTCTGATTTCGGATCGATTTCAATTTTGCGATCTTATCATTCTAATGTTATGAATACAGAGGTTGAACTATTTTATCTTTTTTTTCATTTTAAATTATTCTCTCAATAATAGATAAACTCATTCAAAACGATAAGTTATAGTTTTTTTGTTAAAATACAATGAGACATGAACTGAATATGTGACATTTTTAATTGCTTAGTTGAATGAATAAAATTCATGTGATAAACAGCAAAAACAACCACAACCACAACAACAACAACAACAACTTATCTCATGATACCACAATTGTGTAAATTATCTTAACAACTTTTTGTTTTAATGAACATGACAACTGTGAGAAAAATTTCATTATCTTCATACACACACACACACACACCTTGTTCGGATTCAAAGCATATAATGAGAACAATGTGAAAACAAGAACATATAATGCTATTTGTTCTATACGGAGACAGTGGATAGACTTTAAACAAAGAGTACAATGTTTGAATGTGACCATTTCTAGACTAAGATAGCTGATCAAGATTTTTCTTCTCAATACCCCTATACTCTATGAAACAAGAATGTTATATAAGCAAACCAATTCTCTTTTAAATATTTCCCATGAACGGAATATCATTGTATATAATAGGGATCTATTGTTTTGTATTCACTGAAATTTTGAAAATTATCATTCCGCTGATTGACCGATTGTTATATTTTCTTTAGAAAAATACATCAGTAAATAAATTGACGATGTTTACATTAGTCAGTAGTTGTCGATCTGTGCCATGTGGATAGAGGTAGACTAAGTGGTTGAGATCCACCTGATAACTAGGATCAGTGCTTGAAGACTGGCTAATATAGCTCACAGTCGTTCACAATAGAGCAGAAGCATTCAATTCTCAACTTTTAATTAATCTCAAAATTCAATTTTCGCCCCATACATACTTGTCCTTTTGATTTTTCTTCTGAATGTTCAACCTTCTTTACTATTATCACTACTATATAATTTCAATGTCGTTTTCAATGCATCTTGTAGCGCTAATGTAGTGCGATAACTAGGGTCGATGCACATTCACGTCAGGCATTTTGTAAATAATATTTATTTGCCTAATGAATAAAACGGTTCTCGATTAAACGTCTAGCGGAGGAACATTGGAAAAGCAATTTCATAAACATATTTTTTTTCCTATTAAATTGTGCCTTACAAGAGAACTTTTCCCTTAATAAGAAAACATGTAGAAAAAAAAATCGAATTCCAACGAGAAACTTATTTGTCAAAAAAGAACATTTAAATAAACAACCTACCACATGGCATGAAAAAAAAGATACTGTATACCTAATCCATAGATTGTTAGCTATACATTTATTACATAAAAGTACAATCATATTTTACATTAAGAAACACCCATAATCAATCAAGATGATTCAAACTTAAAAGGATTTACAAAAGGTCAATGTGTCAAACACAAGGTTATTTATATGTTCATTATGCAAATGTTTACTGATAGGAATATCTTTTTTTTGAATGCCTTACATACATGATCATATAACACTTACTAATAATGACAAGCAATTATTATCAACCGAATGGCAACTAACAATCGGTAGAACATTTTGTAAAATAGCCAGGATTGTGTTATCTTTTAAAATTACCATATATATATATATATATATATATATATATATATATATATATATATATATATATATATATATATATATATGGATAAGGAAGAAAATATATGCATATTATATATTTCTAAGTGATTCGAATTTTAGTTCTATTGTATTAAAAATACAACAAACCATTCACAAATAAATTTAGATTTTGAAAATACTGTCGAGACAAATTGTACTTAACTAGTTTGTATCAAATGTATACAATTAGGGAATTAATTCAAAGGTAATTTAACACAATAGTTATTTGATGTTATTATTTCAACTATACAGTAAACTGACTGATTAATTTAACGTATCAACTGCAACTGTTAAATTCAGTCAAAAAAACAGAAAGTTTTATTAAGATATTTTGATACTAACAACGTAAGTGCTTACAATGCTTAGAAGTATAAATCGTATAAACCCTAAGAATGCGCAATGCAAGGTGATTATATTGATGAGAAAACCTAGACATTCAGAAAAAAACAACTAAAACTCATACTAAAACATTGATTTCAAATGATTTAAGAACTATGTACCATATTAAACTTTTATTTAACAGCCACTTCATTTATTACTGTTTATGCTGATCAGATTGTTGAGTGGAATGTTGGATCTCATTTCAATCGCTAAGGTCATTATAATCATACTTAGAATATGTTTTATACACCTGAGTGTCCTATTTCAGTAAGTCAACAGCAAGTCGACAGATACACTAAGCAATATGAATTTTTGTTGAAATGATCGCAAATGACTGACCAGTAAACAAATTACTTAGTCGAATCAACCAATCTATGGTTTAAACACTGAATTTCCAACAGTGAGTTGTAGATTTAGAACCGTCTCCCTTTCATAGATTTTAAGGAATCTATTAGCATCCCTATCATACCACATACACACTTACAAAGTCTAGGACACAAATCAATACTTTGTTCATTTAACATAATTTAAACGGAACGAAAAGTCATTGTATATCTAGCTAAATACGTTCGATGGCAGCCAATTCAAGAGTAAGGTATAATCTTCATACATGACACCAGGAAATAGTAAGCATGAATAATAAATTGATCAGAACTTAATAAATGGAACTAATTCTAGGCTGATTTTAAACATTTTAAGCATAACACTTTAGTGATCTGATAATATTACCCGTCTTTTCCAATCATAGTAAGTGAAATGCAGTCCATTTACATGCCTACGATACAACAGTTAATTGATTTAAACACTGACCTCCAGTTTTACAGCTTCAGTTAAGAACTGACTTAACAATGTAGAACTAGTCCATAGCAAATGAAAGTCTCAAATACGACAGTGAAAATAATCAAAAAAATGCATAATCTTTAAGGGTAACGAAGCTATCACATATAGGAAACTATATATTTTAAACATAAAAATTCTACACTATTATGAGCAAAAATTAAAATTTTCTTTTGAAACAAAAAACATACCTTTTTGTTCATTTAAATTACTCTTTATTGCAGTTTCAAGTTGCGTTACATCATGTTGTAATTGTTGTATTTTACAAGCTGTCAAATCAGAATCTATAGGATTGTTAGTATTATCATAGTAGGCAGCAATACCGCTGCTAGAAAGAGCAGCATCAGTACTGGTAAGATCGGAAGCAGACGATGATGATGAAGAAGAGGATGCTACTGATACTACTGATTGCGAACCCACTAATTCATTTGTACAATGTCCATTCATGCTAGTAATTGATTCAATTTGAGGTGATGATTGTAAATCATCACTTGGCTAAGAGGATTATTGAAAACAATAATGGAAATCAATGATGAATTGTCTTAAAACTGTTTATATTATGATGTTTTAATAACTTTGTAGAATTCCAGTTGATAAAATGTACTGTTCAAGCTTTTCAGAGGATTTTAATATATTCCAATTAATTTCACATGATTTTGTGAGGTAGTATTGAATACAATTTTCACTTTAGTTTAGTAGTATATGAAGAACTTAAGCCGTAAAAGCAATTCTTTTCGGCACAAAGATCTATGATAATAACATGTGAATTGGGACTAAACGAAGTAAAGTTGTTTATCAAAAGTAACATACATATAAGTACTAGAACGTTTACTTCATATACGTTGAGAATTATTCAATATAACTGCAGTTCATGATTAGGTTATGGTTAAGCATAACGTGATGTTCATTTAACTAGTATGGAAATTCAGAGATACTTACATAAATGAATTCTAAATGCATATTCTTTCTATTATGAACAATAGAACGAATGATATTCAAAAATATCCAGTCACAGACATAGTTGATACACCTTTGTTATCGATGTTGTTTTCAGACACGAAGCACACAATAGTAGAGATTTCATTATCACACATGATCATATTTAAACATAGAATAGATGAGTGTATACACATAACAAAAGTGTACAGACTGCACATACATTGAGTTTTGGCATAATGTCAAAACAATTTCATTTATATATTTATGTGACCTATAATAGATTTAATTTTATAGTCTGATATTATTATTATTATTGTTATTATCGTATCAAAGTTGATTTCATTTAATTCTCTTTAGCCTTAAAATTATTGAACAGTGTACACTGTATTATAAAAGGTAAGTATATAGTAGTGTGTGCATGTGAATTTACGCATAAGTGTGCGTGTGTACGCATGAGTTTATTACAGTAACAATCACGGCAACTATATTCCAACAACATTATTGGTTCACTCAAGGTAAAAATTTAATGCTGTTAATGAAAATGTGATTAGTACACTAATTTTAACAACTACATTGAAACATAACATGAACATTATCAGTATCTTTAAGGTCTCGTGTATAAATAATAATAATGGTCTATTGAAGTAGATTGTCCCAGACAAATGAATAGGTTGTTTTAGAAAATGTACACGAAAACTCGTGATTTTATTTGTCATACACAACTGTAAGTCATATGATAACTCGACAAACTAATTGAGCTAGTTAATGCAGATTCACTTGTCTAAACAGAATAAATAAAACTTTAGAGATGTGTATTTGTAAGTTTTAATATAATTTGTACAATGTACATTGAAATTTTATATGCTCACAAATCTAACTTGTAGTTGAATTTAATGTGCAAAAATCTGAAGTGTTGTTGAACTAGGGTCTTACTAACTGATAACAAATTCTTTTCTAAGTACACTTCAATTTATTTAACTACTCTGACAACCAAATCACCCAGCTCAATAATCATCCACCTGAGCTACAAATCTTCTTCACCATCTCAAAATTAAACTTAAATTTGTTTATTAAGACAGAATGGATGTAATCTGATGAGGCTTAAAACCAAAAATAGATTAGTATAGGTTTTGAGCAACAAGTATTATATCAAAACTAGAAATACACCTATTTGTAGGTATTTCGTTGCTTGACCCAGCTAAATCCTCCGCGGACAATTCACTACACTCGATCAGTCCCCTAAATATCAGAAAACAGCTTGAAAGGACACATAGTGATATTTCAAATAAACCAAGATGAGTGGAAAAGATCCACAAAAAGAAAAACATTAGAATATTTGTGATTTTACACAAGAATTTTCTAGAGTCTCCTCCAACTATCCGCTGAAACTGTTGCATGAGTCATCGGCTTCCTTCACATTTTGGTATTTACAACTCAAGCCACCTTCAAAGTTAATCTAATATTGATCTCTTCCTCAGTGAGGTTTAAATGTACGACATACTAAATACTGTTGCGAGATGAGATATAAATGAATTTGACTATTAATGTGTTTACAGTAACTCCGCCTAGTGTTCGTTTACAAATACTCCCAGTCTCAAGCCCGAGTAAAGTAAGAGGGTTGGGCATGAGGTTAGCGACTGTACACCGTAGAAAACTAACTTGCTAAAAACGGTAAGCAGAAAAAGTAACTCAAACCATTTAAAACATATCCTGGCAGTTGGAAGGTTTTCATTTAGAAGAGATATCATGCCTCATGGTGAAAGACGAGTATCTTCGGAAGTCACGAGGCTGACATCTCTTCTCACAACCACAGCGACCACTAATATAGGTACACAGAATGTTCGCACAATGTGGGAGACCGGCAAAACTATTCGAGTTGTTGCAGATACGACGAAAAGGCAACGGCGAGTGTCCCTATCTTTCCGTGTCCGTAGCGCACAAGCGACTATCTAATGGAATATAGTCTAGGAGAGCTAGTTCTGCCCTACGACTCAATGCTATACCTACACCAGCGAGACCCTGGGAAGCAGCATCAGGGCTTCCAGATACACGAAGGGTAAATCGAGTTGCTTCTTTATCTTGAAATGGTGAGGAATGACGATAATTGGATCTTGTATGCTCGTTTCAGAGACGCAGCATACATCGATGGCGCGAGATTCTAAAGTCCAAGCTAATGAAGCCTGTTGACCTATTTGACACAATTTCCGTACATTAAATGCTCCAACATGTAGTTTAGAACGAGGTTTCAGAAGACCAGGAACAACGTTTCGGGAACTCGCATCGTTTGCATTAGCGGTGCAGTGTGATAAAGGAATGTGAGTAGAGTTAGTCGTGGAGAGGGGAGAGATATTAGGGGGTGTAGGAAGGATTTGATTGTGACAAATTTGGTCTCGTGTGCTGTTACGGGTATGAGGGCGGTTGTCACTTCCCGACTGCCCACACTGTGGAAGGGTGTTCCTTGAGGGACCTGAAAATGAAGATAGATTAACGTCGGTCTTAGAGACCTGGGTGCCTGACCACAGAGTCCTGGGGACAACTGCTTCAGGCCGGGCACGCACGGCCTTTTTATGAAAGGATTTTTGAGTATGAGCTCCGCTCTTAAAAGCCCTTAGTGGGCAACCCTTACCGACGGAGACGGAAATCTGTGAGGTAGGGTGAGGTGTGACATTTTTAGGGTCGACCTTTTCTAACCCTTCCTTCCTTGTCAGAAGGCAGCAGATGCAGATGCTGGTTGTCCGAGGGAAACACCTTACTGCTGTCACATCCCTCTGCAGTCAGCAGTACGACTTCGCCCTCAGACCTTGGGTAGCTGCTTTTAGTCTCATCGTTCTCCGATCGACCTGCCTGACATGGTAGAACCTTCAGGAACATATGTTCCAGCCAGTATGGCTCGGTTGGATCATCACGATAGTCAAGCCCGACCACCACATCCAAGTAGCAGCTACGGTCGGGAGTAACAGGCGTAAGTAAAAAGGTACATACAACAGCAAAACCCACTAGGGAATTTACAATTCATCGTAAAGTTCTTTATGATGGAGCAACAATCATCACATTTTTATGTAGTAACAGATATCACGGCCTTTGAATGTGTGCCAAGCATGCTTTAAATCGATTATTTAGTAAGATAGTGATCATAAAAAGAAACGTAAATTATTGTCGACTAAACGATACCAAGTTCTGAAACTGCATATATATGCACCAAATAAGTTAAAATAATATATAATATGATGCGTTACAAACATTAATTTGTGAAACAGTATGTAGCCAAAGTAAAAACCAAATCACAGGTAAAAGTAGAATATAACATATTCTGATCGCTAATAGAGCTGATATAAGCGTCGTTTTACTATGAATACAAACAAGTTAATTTTTATTTCCCCAGTTATCATAAACAAATAATTCATGAAAAGAGTAGTCATGACACTCTATCTCATTATAATACTGATCTAGGATAATCAGAGGTGGTATTTTAAGAGTAATCGCTGAGCTGTAGTTCATAGATACACAGAATAACCTTGAAGAGTTTAAGAGACTGATCGCTAATAGGTTTTGATAAGTTTATTGTAGTCAAGTTTCTCTGAGCTGAACGATTTGGTTGTGCAGTTTTTATTGTTCTTCCGAACAACAACATCAGAACTTCACTTCTACCTGAACTTTGTACTGATGTTATTTAGAAGAACAATGAAAGCTCCACAACCAAACTATTCAGCCCAGAGAACGAAACTCCACCATAAACATTCACTTGAGAGACAAATTTTCTCCATTTCAGAGGTTTATTCTATTTGAACATACGACTCCACCAACTGTGTTGAATAATACAGTAGGACAAAACAAAAAAAATTTAATTTACAAATCTCTACTATCTTTAGAATGTCTTAGCCCTCATCAAGTGGTACCCGAGAAAATAAGACAGTAGGAAGAATCACCCGACTGTCATTTTCATTGAAAGCTGCATACACATTATGATCAGACATTAAGCACCATTAACGATGTGAAAATAAAAAAACTCGTAGTGAACGAATTCAACCTGTCTGTAGATTCTAGAATAATGCACATTCGAAAGTTGGTAATTCTGTCTACAAAATTTTTCTTAAAGATTAAACTCCTTGCAAAAGATTCTTTAATCTATGCTGACTGGGTAACCGCGATAATTTTGTCATGAGTCAGTCACCAGAAAAATATTATTCGCTTTTGGGTTTCCGGATCCAAAATAAATGTATGTCTAACGCTTCTGAGTACAGAAATAACATTGTCTTAGTGAGATTCAACAAAGCTAATCACTCTCTAAGCTATTTTGAACCTAGCTGAAGAGAAATAACAACTACCCAACTTGCTAATTAAGGATCAAGATTTGACATATGCTAATACCTTTATTACCTCTATTACTATGGGATTTGAATTGACAATTACATCTCTGTGCTAATATGGTATGGCCACATGAACTTATGTACGTACGTAGTTTTAGGTTGCTATTGATTGACTGACTGACTGAATTTAATATTTACTTACAAGATCCACCAACCCTGTCGTTATTTTATTAGACGCATGAGATTCTTCATGTAGCTGGAACACCGTCATTTAGTAATATATTTCTGAATGCACTTTTACGAAACGGTTATGAACGGATTCTATGAAATCAGTTAATTATTCACGGGATGATATCAGAAATAAGAAACTACCGTAGTACAGACCGACGAAATATAAGGATTATCAATTACAATAAAAATCAGTTAAACACACTTTGAATAATTTGGATACGGCTTTTACTGAAAACACACATAAATGCAATTTAGTTTCAAATGTAAATAATAGAGGTAAATATCAAAAATTTAAACACCGTTTATTTACCTCACAACCGTAATGAACCGATAACTCGGTCTGAGGGACGTAATTATATGCATTAGATGGTGAAATATAAAATGATCTATTGTGTTGTGTTTCAGGTGTTGGATTGGTTACTGTCATTACAGGAGTTGCGCTGCAACTGAAATAAAAAATGACGGAAAATTGTGGATATGAGATAAACGGATAAGAAATAAGAGTATTTGGTCTAAGTAATGACACTAATTTACACGGCTACGTCGAGATGATCAGGGAGTTTCATCACCGTTTTAATTGAGGACGATTTACAGTTTACTTAAGACTAAACCTGAGATAATAAAAAAATAATGATAATTAACGAGATGATATGAAGGACCGGAATCTGATGCGACAGCTGCACTGACTAACAGTCAGTGCAGTCAGTTACAACGTAGAACTTCGAAAGTCCAAGTTGCCATACCACATTAGCATAGAAACGCAGTTGTTAATTCGAATCCCATAAAAGCAGAGGTAGTAGAAGTATGAGTGGTAATGGAAAAGATTAGGGATTGAAGAAATTATTCAGGAAGTATGATCCTGTGAAATAAATTTTTTTTAAAAAGAGAGATTAAGGTGATGAGGAATTCAGAAGATTAGGATTTGAGAGAACACAACGAGTGGATGTACCTGTGCCATTTGTTTAAGAAATTGAGAGGACAAAAAGCGAATATCTCACGAGTGAACCGGGTTGGTGAGTAGCAAGAGTTTACCTAGGGTAGTTGGAAAATCCTCACTTCAAACTACGCAGATACAGACACCAGGATCCTGGAAGGAACAGAGGGCGTATGAACCTATTCATGGTCATTGGCTAATATGGGACTGAATCTCCTGACGTTGTTTTACTAACTTGTAGATCTATAGATCAAAGGCTTGGGTAGTGGCCCTCTAAAGAAAGCACCCGCTTGGGTTCGGGTACCCAAGAAGTATCTCAGTCTACAGTGCTATATTTTTGTGCCCCCTTTTATCAAAATTGGTCTTTGAACAAATAATGACTGTTGGAGGGAATTAAAAAACATAACTACCTATTGTTCGGATCGATGTACCTTAGTTTAAAAATGACGCGACTGTTTTTAAACACTCTAACTTCGTAAATATCGTAAAATCAAGTAACTACACTAAAATAAACCTACCACGATAACGAGATATTACATGCTGATGTTTGGGATCTTAATACACCGCAGTCAGAAAGAGACTCAAAATTTTCCTCTGCCTTCGGATTGTTAGGAGTGTGAGGAGAAGCAGTCTCCATATGAAAGTCCATAGGTAGAGTTTCATAACCTGAAAGACTACTACTACGCGTAGATCCACCGGTTTCCAGAACATTGCACAACGGTTTTTGGTCATCTTGTAGTTTTTCCTTTACATTGGATGAACTGATTGTCACGGAGATTCCTTCTGATGATTTGGACTCGCTTGTAGGATTATGGCTGCGGTTCGAATGTTTCGAGTGTGAAACATGTCTAAACAAGCTTCTCAGTCCTAGGAAATTTATTTGTTAAACAGAAAGGTAAACTGAAAATAATAAAGCATAATGACATTACGAAATCTTATATGACCAAAGCACGTAAGAGTTATTTGCAAAAATAACGGATAAAACTATGAAAAATAAGTTCACTTTACATAAAACGATGGACTGGATGAAACTGCCATTCACATGGATTTAAGGCGGTACCGCTTAACTTTTTTAGCTGATTATTCTTAGTTTATTCTATCACAGTGATATAATGCAGTTGACAGGCTAGTAATTAGTTTACATAACGGAAAACAAGTAGCTCAGCCATCCGACTGAGTCCTACACCTATAATCTAAAATTACTCTGGACGAACTGATACTGACTGGCAAACAGTAGTGACCAAACTCTTCATGTTCTGTGACTCTTAAATGATATGCAACATTACAACACATTTCTACGATGTGTCTGATATGCACTTGTTGCAGAGACACAAATATATAACAGCCATTAATGGGTTCTTTTAGATAGTTATTCCCAGTAGGTACGAGGTTCCTCAGATCCAGGTTCTTCAACCTGATATTTTTGTTTATTAGTGAGTAAGCTAAGCTATGACGTAGAAGATGATTTTGCAGAAAATCGGGCATTCTTTCGATGCACATCTCTGTCACCATATTATGAATAATTATACGACAATCAATTCAGGCGAAAATTGCATGTACCCGAGACAATCAGCTAATAAAATATTACCCTACGGTCAACCAAAGGCTAATGAGTACTTTGAAAGGACTAAATATTTGCAATCACCTATGACTAGTAATTATTCGCTTCTAAAAACTGGATTATTGCAACTGAACAGACAAGTTTATAGTACTAACCCTTCTTCTTTGATGACCTGCTTTTCTCCTCACATGTTTCGGTAGGGTCTGATATAGTATTCGAACCAGAACTGTTTCCACTGGCCAGCTTTAGAAGCGTAACGGGTTAAATGTGGCGCACACTCTGTATCCAAAGCTCAACAATGAAATGCGCAGAAATATAAGAAAGAAACTTTAATAATACTACTAACTCTTTTAGAAACCCTAACTTCGTTGATTTGATTCGAAATATTTCAAATGGTTACGGATGGAACGAAAGAATTTTCGCTTAACAAGCTTCCATATCAGCTTAAAATGGATCACTGATACTTCCACATAGAGAAACCTATGTATATTTAACTAGCTTGTGACAGCGGCAGTTCATAAGGCTATCTGCTCCTGGTTTCTCTTTCTTGATCTTAAGCTGGCAATATTGCCGATTGTTCGTCATCGCTATTCTTATCAAAGTTAAGTGCAATTAATTCTTTAACCGGGTCCGTCGTCTTACCCGTTCTTTTGTTATCTTCTTTTCCATTTCTTCCCAGAAACACTACTCTGCATGCTCACCTTTTACACAGGGTATCTTCTAGCTAGAGGCAAACCATTATAACACTGATATAATTAAATTGCAAAATTTGTGGATTTCAAAGACTTGATAACCTTTGAGTATGCTGACATCATTGGTACCTCTCGGTAGCTTGAATCTAAACAATGTCAGCCTCCTTTGAAAATTTATGTGATGCACACCAGCTCCTAATTATCTGAGCCGTGCCTCAACTTCGAAAACGGGAAACTGACACAACCGGACCAATTTTTCAATGTACACAATATTTTAAAATCTTACTTGTTTAAATGCAATCGTTTCTAATGCACCGGTTTAGTCCTTAGATTCACTTCCTGCACTGATCCTAGTCTTCCGGTGAAGATCTCGGTAATGCGGTTTGTATATGATAGTTAGAATATATAAATATACTGTTTTACGAGATGCCCTTCTGTTTAACAGTCATTGTCAGTCGAAGTATTGTGACAACATGGTGCAATAGAATTTTTCGATTATTTACAAATTTATCCGCAGATTTTGACCAATCACCGAAGTTTATGTTTCTTTGGGTCCTTTTAGCAACTGTCTCTTGCATATATATTTATTAAAGACAATCAAGTGTATGACGACCCTAAAAGTATCGCAGAGTTGTTTAGCGAACATTTTTGTGCCACATTAACAAACGAAAACTCAATAAATGAGTCACACCTGACCCAAACTCCTTCCTGTGAAATCGCCAGTGTTGAATTTAGTGTACAGAACATTTCTAAGGCGATTACTACACTGAAGCACTCTTACATTGAAGGACCAAATGGCATCCCTGCCAGCATGCTAAAAAATGGTAGCAATGATCTGAGCGCTATTCTTCTCAAACTATTTAATATATCTCTCTCCACAGAGTGTTACCCTAATAACTGGAAGACTACACATATCATCCCCACAATAAAATCTGGGCCTACAGCGAACGTTGAAAATTACCGACCTATAAACAACTTCGGTAGTATCTCGGGTCGTGGAGAAAATAGTTAAGGCGGAATGTCTCTTGTAACATGTTTGTTACTTGAGAATAAATTATTATTATTATTATTATTATTATTATATATGCAATATTGTCACTAGTTCATTTATATTCTTTTTACTCGTATCTTTCAATTCTTAGCATTCGAAGAGTTCATTTCTTTATGACTGTGGGTTGAAAATAACTTTTGATGACTTTATGTGGGACAGGCTTATTATTGGAACTTTGTTTAGTGTGAAGTAAGAAATGCAAGTCAGCATCCACTTTATTCTGACGGTGAACTTCCCAAATGCTATTATTGTCGTTTAAGACTTAAACATTCAACCATTTCCAGTTCCAACGTCTGTTCTTAGAATGGTGTTTTATCTCGGTTTTGCTAATAGAATTCAGGGTTATGGTCAGGTAATTACTTTTACGAATGTGAACCAGGATTGTAAATTTTGAGTTCTCCGTTTGTGATGATGACTTCCATTGTTAAATTTACCTTTTTGAATAACGTCAACTCCTCATAGATGTTGAAGAACTGAGTTTCAGTAGAGTTACCACTTTCATTGAGCGTGTGGTCAGCAAAGGTGAATTCAGGAAGTTTAAAGTTTCCTGAAATTGGGATATCACTGTTTACGAGGGGAGTGGACTGAGTTAATCCCTCCAGTATACAACTGTCATGCTTGATGTAAGCGGTAGGCTTTCCAAAAATGATTCTAGCTAAGCATCTTGAGATGTTGAACATTTTCGCTAGGCACCATATGTATTTGTTAACTTACGTGCTAACAAGCAGTGTTGCCTCTCATTTAAGTTTTTACATTGAGAAGGAATAAATGCTGAGGCTGGTGTTACTCTGGTCGTCTCCTACTGCACGGATTGAGACACAACCTCGATTACACAGAAAGAAGCAAACATCCTTCCCTAGAACCTCTGTGGCCCCGTCGGTTTAAAAACAACCTAATACTTCTATATAAACTGATAAGTGGTCTCTCCTTCGTAAAATACCGCCCAATTATGAACCACAACACTGTTTACAGACTTAGAAACAACGCATATACACTATTAACGGCAAAACACAAGAAATTATTGCGTTGTAATTTCTTTGTAATACGATACAGTCTACTGTGGAACAGGTTATCAATTACTATCCGTAATTGTGACACAATCACTAAGTTCAAGAAACTAGTCATGCTGTTGCTAGACTCTAAAGAGATTTATCGACTATTCCCGGAACTCACACAAAGTCCCCAGGCACTCTTTTATGGTCCACCAAATATTTAGATGAACCTCGGAAACGAATTATAGACTATGAACACATTGTGTTCTCATTACCACCCATAGATGTATCATGAAATGATGGACCAATTCCCATTGCTCCTACTAACATTAATAGGTTACGCCTTTGAAGTGTTACCCGTGACTTTCCTCTAAATTTTAAATTCCGATTATTATTTTTATATCTTCAAAGCAGTTTTAGTTTTTATTTCTAGTAGATGGACAAATTGAAAAGCCTGTAGATGCTGTTCAACTACTGTCAATTACAAGGAACTCAAACACCGTGTATCATTGTGAGTTCCTTCTTGTTTAAGTATTAACAGTTTAGCAAATGTTTATTTCCCCAATTAATTAACATTCAAACACCTTGCCTGCTTACCAACCTATCGCTTTACTCATTAATTTTTAACGTTATTCCAACTCTTTTTTTCACTTTCTCCTCTTTCCAGCTGCCTGTCCTTCCTATTTCCAAACTACCCATTAACTGACTCATCTTACAAATTATACCATTCGTTTACTTAAAATCAGTGTGATATGCTATGTGGATATATTATCTGACAAAGTTGTCTGGATTGCTTGTAATGTTTGGAACTAGTAGAGAATGTTAATTCCAATAAGGTGTAGAATTCTTTTTGAATGTTTTGTGTTTTGGAAAATCCCTCCATTTTTACATATTTTTGCTATGATATGAATTACTTTTTCTTTTGACATTTTTGGTACTTTATTTGATTGCAATTTGAGAATTTTTCATTGTATATTGTTATTCTTTCTATATTTTGTACTTTTATTGAAGTTTTTGTGTTTGCTTCTGAACTGTACATATATTGTTTAAATTTGATATAATATGGCTACCGCCACATTTTCGGACGGACGCAGTGGCTGCTGGACTTAGCGTCACTTATTGGTTATTTTGTCGGATACTCTGCGGAGTAACTTAACCCTGGAAGAAACACAATTTCCGTAAGGCTTTGTATTTCCATTTTCTAACTAATAAAGAGACGTTTTCTCCTAGAATTTTGTCCTTTTCTGAATTGGTTGGGACCCGGGACTAGGAAAAGCGTACAGGAGTGCTTCTATTGGAAACAATTGGGACGGCCACTGTCGAAATAAATTTACATAAGGTGTACAAAAAAAAAATTGAGAGTAGACTATAGACCATTATTTACAATTAACCATTAAACGTAAGAGAGCCTAACATCGCAAAAGGAGGGAGGGATATATAGATAAATTTTCTACCCTGGCAGTTCACTTTGTTTCCATTAGGTGTAGGTTGAACGCGCTATCCCCCAATCCAATATCAAAACACAGTGATTCCAGGAAAAAGGCGTTCTATTTTTATTATAAAATGGAAATACAAACAGTTACCTAACTAATAATACACCTTCCACGTCGCAATTACCCTGATGGGTATCCGATTCCAAAAGGATAAGTGTTACTAGTTCTAACTGCCACGGTATCGAATCCAAATATGTCTGTAGCCATATTAAATATCAAATTTGAACATGTGTACAATTCAGAAGCAAAAATAAAAACTTCAATATAAGTACAAAATATAGAAACAATAGCAATATGCAATGATAAAATCTCAAAATGGAATCAAATAGAGTACCAAAATGTCAACAGAAAGATTCAGTCATATCATAACACAAATATATACACATGGAGGGATTTTCCAAAAAACAAAACATTCAGAAAAGATTCTACAGGTGGTGTATCTGACCAGCATTCATGACGGTGGGGCGATAACCTCAATCTACCCTTGTCTGTGTGGCAGAACATTTTGTTTGCTTACGGCTCCTTACGATATAGCAGGATGTAACAAATCAGTGATATTGATGTTACTTTTCTTTGATAACCTCGTCTACGACTCATATCCGTAACATTGCACTGGATTTTACGTCCTATCGGGAAATCCTATTACAGTGTGGTCTGGACAACTATACTAAAAAGGAGATCACTCATGACTTCTTGAGCCACAGAAGTAAAAAGAAACAGAATAAATAAAATACCACAAAATTTTTATATTAGTGTGCCTCATTATTATATTTTATTCTACTCGAATGGATAATCTTACTAATTTATTTCACTTTTAAGACACTTCATTCCACAGTCGATTTCTTCAAGGGCAGGAAAGCGAAACAAATGAGTTGTGCTTACAAAGTGAAAAAATTAATTTAGCTTGATTTCTAACGTACACATTCTTTAGGAAAATACTCACTTTTTGTAAGCGCTGACGGAAACTTTTGGTGATGCAAGCCAGTGTTTGTTATACACCACTATAGTTATGACGTTGTAGTGTGGCCAGTAGCAGTTC